GCCCCGCCGCCCCCGCCCCAGCTCCGCCCGCCCCGGGGCCAAGCGCGCGGCACTCACTTGTCGCGGACCGGCTGGAAGGGCGACTTTAGCTGCTGCGCGGGGGACTCCGGCCTGGGGACGAGGTCTCTCTCTGAGGGGGAGGGGAGGAGGCAGAGGTTAGGGTGGCGAGGCCTGGGGGAGGGGCGCCGTTGGAAGCCCCTTCCCCACCCGTTCCCGCCGCCGTCCGGCGCGGTCTCCCTCCCCGCCCCGCGCGGCAGGAGCGCGGGGCACCGCAGCCCTCCGGGGAGCGCAGGGCCTGGGTGTAAGCCCGGACTAAGCCCCCCCCCTCCCGGTCGCTGCGTCCCGGCCTGGGTACCTGGTAGCGCAGGGCTGGCGCGCGCCGAGGCCTTGTCCACGTGCAGAGGGCCGGGGGTGACGGCGACGGGCGGCTGCGGCGGCGGGGGCGCGGGCAGGTGCGGCCCGTGGGGCGCGGCGTGGGACGCGCCGACGCCCAGGAAGGAGCGCATGTTCAGCAGCGAGCCCTGGGCCAGGAACGCGCCGTTGGTCCAGTTGGAGAACTTGCCGATGTGGCAGGTGTACAGTCCGTGGCTGGGCAGGAAGGCGGGGTGCTGCAGCGGCGCGCCCGTGGCAGGCCCGTGCGCCACCGGGTGGCCCGCGGGAGGCGGCGGAGACGCCTTGGGCGCGCCATCGGGGCTCGTGGCCGTCTCCGCCAGCGACCAGATCTTGGGCTTGCTGTGCTGCGCGCCCTGCAGGCCTACAGCCAAGGCTCCGGGGCTCAGCAAGCGCGTGCTGCCGGGCTCTGGGACCTCCTTGGCCAGGCCCAGGGGCGAGTCTTGGGGCTTGAGCGCGTCAGCCGCGGCCAGCGGCGAGCCCTGCTCCCGGGCCAGGGCGCTGGGGGCGGCGGGCGCCCGCGGCCCCTCAGCCTTGTCCTCGTCGTCCTCGTTGCTCTGGTCACCGTCGTGCTCGTCGATCTTGTCAATGTCGATGCTCTCCAGGTCGATCTCCTCGTCGTCCTCAGCCTTCTCCGGGTCGCCCTCCGTGTCGCTGCCGAAGAGGGCGCCGTCCTCCTGGTCCTTGCTGCGTGCCCCCCAAGTCACCTTGTTCTCCTTCTTGAGGCGCCGGCGCGCGTTGGCGAACCAGGTGGAGACCTGCGTGAGGGTCATCTTGGTGATGATGGCCAGCATGATCTTCTCGCCCTTGGTGGGGTAGGGGTTCTTGCGGTGCTCATTCAGCCAGGCCTTCAGCGTACTGGTGCTCTCGCGCGTGGCGTTCTTGGGCCTCCCGGGATCCCCATACTGGAACTGGCCGTAGGGGTAATAAGCTGGTGCTGTGTGGGCTGCGAAGGTGGCGGGGTGCACCCCGGGGTTGTCCTTGAGTTCATACTGCGAGCCCTGCAGCCATGGCGTGAGCGGGGGTGGGAGTGGGGGCAAGGAGAGGGAGATAAGAGAGAGGGGAGTAAGAGGTGAGTCCCCACAGCTAGCAAAGTGCCTGGCAGCAGCCCCCACTGGCTCCAGGGCCTTCCCAGGGCCAGGTCCACTGGGCTCCCAGGCTGTCTGTGAGGACCCTGCCACACTGCCCAGCACGGGAAGACACGCCAGCGCACTGCTAAGGAGCCAGAGACCAGGGACTGCGCTGCCTCCTAACACCACCGTGATCCTTCTTTTTTTTTTTTTTTTTTTTTTTTTTAACTTCTAGAAACCAAGCACTTCCAGAAGAGCTCAGCAGGAGTCTGGCCCCTTGGAATTCCCCTAAGCCCCCTAGGTCTCTACCAACAGCGGCTCTCCATTTCCAAGTTTATCTTAGCAAGCCAGAGGAGAAAACCTTTTCACAGGGCTGGTGAAACAGTTTCTCCAAATGCAGAGGCCCCAGATTTCAAGCCCCTTCTTCAGCCCCAAAAGGGTCAATCAAAATAAACCTCTCCCCTTTTTTTTTCCAGCTCCAAATCTTCAGCAATTTAAAACGAAACCAAACTCCTTTCCCCTCCCAAAGTAATCTGCATGGAATGGTTTGCCCACACTTAAGAGGCCTGTCCTGGTGACAGGTAATTTAAAATTTTAATCCTGATCATCAACAACAATAACAAAAACACTATTTTTTTTTTAATACAAAAGGAGGGCTTATCCTGTAAAATATTAACCCCAGGCCCGGAGGAGCTGGCCGGCAGCAAGGGAAACCTGTTCAGTTTCCTGGGCCTCTTCTCTCCCAGTTACTTTATCCCTCGAGTTTGGCTTTGATCTGGAGCAAGCAAACACAAACTGTTTGCAGGCATTTAGAGGCGGCGATTTTATCTGCAATCAATATTCTTTTTATCATCAGTAGTAAAACACAGCAAGTCAAATTATCCCATCAGGTTTTTGGTAAATAACATTTTATCTTTCTAACAACCTCATTAGGCCTCATTATCACCATAAATTGCTAAGACAGTCTCTCTCTCACAATTTTATCTTTGGACTTCCAAAGACTCAATCCTAATAGCTTGAAAATCCAGGCCTGGAATCCGGGTTTAGATTTAAGCTCACTTTCCAAGACCAGACTGAAGGACCCGCAGATAACATAGACACCCTGGGGAGAACATTTTTACTATTTTCCCCTTAGTACAAGAAATCTAGCATTGCCCTTTCCCACTCTGACACAAAAGGGGCAGGCACACACAGTTCCCAATGGCTGGCATCTGCATTCAAAATTTCGGCTAAAAAAAGAAGAATCTCCCAAAGCGAAATCTTCCAGTTGCTGTGCTAGCAAAGGGGAACGCTGGACTCTGACAAACTTGCACAGTGGATTTCTTCGACTAATTACTGTCCTGCGGTGATTGAGGCCACACAGGAACGGCTGCCGTGGCCAGAATTCGTTTCTACCCAGCCCCGGCCAAATGAAATTTGTGCTTCTCAAATGGTTTGGGTCGTAACTGTAAAGAAGACATTTCGGCCTTGCCTCTGCCGGGAATTCTTTTTCAAAGGACCCCTAGTAAATCTTGCCTGGCTTTCCGGGTACCCGGCCACCGGAACAAAATGGGGGATGCTCTTTCTGGGTAGCTGGCCAGCGATCGCAGGGCAGCTGGGCCGACTGCGAAAGAAATAAGCGTTCTTTCAAAACTACAAGAAAAGTTGCTGAAAAACAAGCCCCGCGGCTTCACTCTACACCCTTGGCGGGTATTTCGTCCCGGCCTCTGCGTCACGGATTGAGGACAATTCCGGGTCCCTGGAAATTGCTATCCAGCACGCTGCCACGCAGGAGGGGGCTCTCTCCTCCACCCCGCGCTCTCCGCGCAATTCTCCAGCAGCCCGAAGTTTAAGCAACTCCGACCTTGGGACCACGCGAAGGGAAAAGGATCCCCCGGCCAGACGGGCCAAAGACCCCGCGGAGAACGAATGTGCTGCTCCTCCCCCCGCCGGGCACCTCCTGGGGTCGAAAGGGACACCATTTATTTTAGGCGCAGGGACGCTGTTTTTTTTTTTAATCCTCCTTCGTAACGCGGAGAGAAAAGTGCTTTTCTTTCGGTGCAGATGAAATGAAAACTTTGGCAACTTAGGAAAGTAGAAGCAAACACCGTTTCAGACGCCAACATTTATTTCAACTCTATTTTTTAATCTCCAAGTCGCACTCTCGCCATGAAGAGACCTCTCCAATCCGCCCGATCTCTATTGTTAGGATGATTCGGACGGACTCTCCAGGGCTCGCGGGGACCCCTCAGGCAAACTGGGAAACAACTATCTCGGCTCTGCCAAAGACCGAGAGAATCGGGTCTTCTCCGCCCAGATCAAAGCTGGCGAGGCCGCGCGAAGAGGCCCGCGCCGAGCGAGGGGAGCCCTGGTAACCAGGCCGGGCTGCTGGCGCCCCGCGGGCCTCCCAGGCGCCC